TTCCTGCAGACGTCGTCCTTCTTCCTGTCTTTGTCGTTCTTCTTCTTCTCGCCGTTCGTCTTCGTATTGACGTCGTTCCTTTTCTTCTCGACGTTCTTCCTCCTGCCGATGCCGCTCCTCTTCTTCTCGACGACGTTGCAAAGCAATGATACGTTCCTGCTCTTCCCGCTGACGTTGCATCAGGCGTGTTTCCTCCTACAGTTTCCTCTGACGAGTTTCCTCTTCCTGACGCAAGCGAATTTTCTCCTGCTGTTTCAGTAGCTCCTGATATCGCCTCTCACTCTCAGTTAAAACCGAATCAAATCTTCCCGAAGGTGAGATCGTACGTCCGCTTTGTATGTTATCATTTTCATCCCAACGACTTTCTACTCTAACGGAATGATTCATGCGAGTCTCGTAAGGCTCTTCAAGATCGGGTAATCTCCGAGAACTGAAAGATTCCTTTTCAGATTCTCGGAATCCCCCGCCCAAAGTTGTGGAACTTCCACCGGATTCTGTGTGGAAAACAACTCCACGATCGCTAGACAAATCACCGGTACCAATCGCGCTAGTTCCGGAAGAATTCTGTGTATATGTCGTAGTGAGAACGTCGGGTTTCTCTCCCGTTGGGTTCAGTTGGATCCTCCTAGTCTCGGTGACTACGTTCGACGAAGAAGAGGAAGAAGATGAAGAGGAAGAATGTCGCGATTTTTGGATATTCGAACTATCGCCGCTATTGATCTCGGTTTCTTCTTTCTGGTTCGCTTTGTTGCGGTCTACCTCGAAGCCTCTTTGGACGTTGATCGTTCTGCCTGATTGCGATTCATCCAGGATCACGCCGGAATAGTCGGGGTAATTTAAATGCACTTTTTTGCGTTGATCCAGCTGCGATACATTATTATGATTTACATTGTCATTTCACACATACATTCAAAAATTGATTAAATTATAAAACAAAACTATAATTAATCATAATTATCTTAATTACAGTTTTTTAAGATATAAATTTTTATGCATATATTTAATTCTATTATATATGCTATAAAAGTATTATATACATATATATATTTTTTTATATAATTAGATAGCTTTGAGTAAAGCAAACACATACTAATAGCAATAATCATAATTTCTATAATTTATATGATATAATTCATATAACGTAAAAAAAATAATTTTGGTTTATTTCCGTCTTATACGTACCTTTAAACTGAGATAATTTGCATTAGCAGGTTCGCAAGCGATCGGTCCCGCAGTCACTGGTTGTTCCAACAAGTACATTAGTTCTTTCCCAGATAAAGTCTGCGCGGGCCACACAAGGAATGCTTCGGCCTCGATGATATCTGATGGGCCTTGATTGCGAATCGTATAATTATGTGTCACCGCTGGCCCAAATTCGAGCTCCGTCGTGATATTCACAGCAGTGTAATTATCGGGATTGTAATAGAGATCCTTAGGTTTGCTTTCGCCGTCGACACGCAAGTCCGTCTCTATCCAGATCGGCAGAGATAAATTCTGACTGTTGTCATGGGCGGTGATGTGGTTTTTGGGATTCGTAGTGTTGACTTGCATATCGAACTCATAGATGGGTTTCATCCCGTGTGACGTCACAGGCTGAAGTAGCACCTTGAATTTCACCAGTTTATTCTGCGGCAGTGGATTTCCGATATCACAGCGAAGAGTATTGTTATTTGATTGCTTGGGCGCAGAACAGTGAACGGGAATCTCTAGGGTCTCGATACGTTCTATCTTGATATAATCGATGCCGGCCGGTAGCTGCAAATTGTACGTTGCCTCGAAGGCGTCCTCGCCCGCATTCTGCACCATAACTTCGAGTTCCAGCCTCTTGCCAGAGCCTAGTAAGTATCTACCGACATTAGATCTCACGCTGAGTTGTAAGTTGTCGCGCCAAGGACTGGTCTCAGCGGCATTCTTGGATCACGACGGCGATTGTCTGCAATCCGTTCTTCTTCCAGACTCATACGCATTTCGGCATCCAACGATGTTAGCTTGTCGCGGATATTGGGAGTCACGTAGATCTTTAAGAACGATACAAAAGTTGCGAATCTCTTTTTCTTTCTTACAAAGAGAAATTATATCGTATATTAAAATCAAACGAATATTTACCTGAACTGTGCGACAGAACTGCCGATCGCGTTCGACCGTGATCGTATGATTCATCGTGTTCCTGCCCTCCAATTCCAGGAAGAACAGCCTCGGATTCTTCGTTTTCTTCACATCGAGTACGTATTGTATGTTGAAATTGTGCCTCATAAGAACACCCTCTCCTGAATACTTAAAGCAAGCCCTAAGCGGAAGACATGTGACTCTAGTATCATCAGAAAGCGTGCAATTTCTGTTGTCCAAAGAGATCAACTTGGATTCAGAGTCGAAGGACACGTAGGAGTCCATCTTGATCACCGGTCGTGACCTGAAGAACGTCAAGTTTACTCAAAACTCGATGTCATCATAAAGACATTTTCAACATCAGGTTTAAATAAAGAAAAAATTGATAAGAACCTAAAGAACATTGCTGCTCCCGACTCGTATGCACCGACCACCAAATCTGGATAAATATTGCCATCGAGATCGAGCGCACCGGCCACCGAAAATCCAAAGGTCTGCACCGGATTATCTAGATCCTCCGCATGGATCACCTGGGAATACTTCTCTAATACTCCGGTCCGTGAGCCGTGATAAATGTAAACGGCACCGCGGCCATTGGGACCAGCATAGGGCGCGCCAACGACGAAGTCACCGTAACCGTCACGGTCGATGTCCCCCAGAGAAGCCAGTGACAAGCCGAAACGTCCGCGGTTGCTTTCGCCGTCTCTGGATAACGATAAACTTTATCGTCGCGGTTCAACAAACTTGCGTGCGATGCAGAGCTCATTTAATCCTTCGGGTCAGAGTCGTTAATGAACTTGGGAGTAACGGAAATGTACGAGAATCTCTGCCGCTTTATGGAAATCTTTTCCCCGTACACATTCTATGTTAAACGTAATATACAATTGCTTTTCCTTCTTAAAGTACTTGTGAAGTTTCGCTACCTTATATCGAATCTGCGGAACTTCTCCGCGCCGCCGCCCTGCTAGATAACGTAGATTCTTCCGGTCTCGATGGTCATTTCCGGATTATCCGGAACTGTGTACATGGGTGCACCGACTATCAGGTCGTCCAACCCATCTCCGTCTATATCGCCGGATGCTACGGCGTAACCGAAATAAGCGCTCATTTGTTCGCCAGTGAGATTCCGAGGATTCGTCATGTTTGATGTGAAAAGTATCACCTACGATCATTTATTTTGCCTCAGCCTACATTCGCAATGACACTCACACACAGGCACACATATTACTGTCATTTAAATTTTACCTTTGTTGCAAAATTAAATATTTATCCATTTAATTTTTGCAACGCAAATTTAAAATTTAGAATTTTAGAATTGTGAAAATTATATCGATTAGCATATATTTTGCATTTCTTAACTTTTTAAAGGGAATTGAATTATGTTATTATTTAAAAATTATGTTAAATTATATTTTGCAAATATTTGCATTCTTGCACATCTGATTGAATTGTCCTTAAAATATATCGTTCGAATTAAGATTAAAATAAAATTCAAATAAGATTCTTACAATTCTATTATTTTTCTATCATTACATTTTTATATCTTATTACACACCTTGCCCAGGAGATCGGAACCACGCGGAACTCCGACCGCTGTACCGCTATCGCCATTCCCAATGAAATCCCCTGTCGCGACGGAGTAACCCATGTAACTGTCATCCTCTTTCGCGGGACCCTCTTTAGTGAACATTATTCTCGATCGACTGTTTAAAGGCTGCGAAAACGCTTGTCCTATAAAATGATCCCATATGGTATTAATAAGAGAAATATCCCAAAAATTTCTTGATGGGAATGCAGGCGTATTCATGACCGCGGCCATAGTCGAAAATCCTTTAAAGGTTCTCGTTCTTTGCTGCAGTCAGGAAATAACTCGCACGAATCCTTTCACAAAATCTTATACCATATTAAAATACAATCACATAATTAAAGGATTCGAAATCCGTCGTGCGAAGAATAATGTAATTAACAGAAAACTATAAATACAAGTCGATTAAAAGACATTATTTTTTTTTCTCCGCATCATTAATTTAGAAACCATATGTACGTATACATACTTAATTTTGCGTGAAAGGTTTTGTGAAAACAACATATGCTATGGGGATGACAAGCTTTTCTATCATTAATCTAGCATTTGTTTTCGCTATTAATGTCAAGCAGTTGCCACTATGTAGCAACGTTGGCGCAAACTCTCCAACCGATTAAAAGGTATTATAGCTTTCTAGTTGGATATCCGTATTTTACTGCGGCTCTTGCTGCATCTGCAGCTTGCTGAAGCTGTAAGAAGCGGGCCTGCACCTGTTAGAAATCACCCACCACTTATTTGGCAGTAATTTGAAAAAAAAGAGTTGGGATGCATCGCATTTTAATTGTCGGAATTACAACCGAGTTTTATTCGTCAGAAAAACAAAGCATAGAAATTAGTTTTTAATATTTGTTAAATTTCTCATTTGTATTTAATCAATTATACATAAAGTAAGAGATACACAGAGAAAAAGAGAGAAACTGAATTATCCCAATCACATATAGGGAATGATTGGGTAGCTAGCGGAATTTTTTTTAATATTTTCAAATTTCAACGGGCTGATTATTTCAACGTGATTATTCATCGATTTTAATTACATGATTAATAACAAGCGTCATATTAAGCATAATGACAAATGATTAGAGTTACTGCCAAGCAAGTGTAAAGAGGGTGGAAAATATTCTCTCGTGTTATTTCGTTTCTGTCTCCAAGGACGCTTTCCTGCTATAACCGGGAATTAATATCGTCGGCTTTCACTTCAGTTTCCGCATTCACGGTAAAAGCCGACAAACAAAACACGTGGTTAATTTGTAGGAAATCGTCAATACGAGAGAATAGTAGGCTTATTATTTTTGGGGCGGGGGAGGGGCAAGAAGGTGAAGATAGTATTTTAGTTACGGGGACCTGCAAATGTACGCGATACCTGATGCTTCGGCTTCGGTGACTAACATCGTCGCTACAAACTTCATTGTCATGGCGGTGGCGATTGAATATATCTGACCTGTAATTTGTTAAAGGAAATTCCCCACTGAATTATTAATCAAACCTATTAATCGCACGCTCTCTAATCGCTAATCAACATCCGCTCCTCCGTTCTCGTTCAGTCGCACCACGTCGTAGATAAGATAATTTTTATTGAAAAAAGAAAAAAATAATACAAATATACATCGATGTTAAAAGAAAGATTCTTGGCCAGTATTCACATACGTCTTAAGATATACATATATACAGACGTTATTATACAAATGAAAATTGATCAAAGATTCTTACCTTGCTAGTACCAACTGCCCGGTGCTCCTATAAAGATTCTTTCGCCATTCTGAAATAAATAGAAAAATAACTGTCAGCGTAAATTTCTTCTCTTATCCTGAATTATGAGAAATTTTGAAATAACAAAACATTCTTATTTTATGGTTGTTATTTATAAAGTGAAATCTTAATTTATCTCTCGCAACATTTTTGCTTGCCTTCAATTGTTCTTATATATTTTTCTTTTCTTTTAAAAATGAAATATTTTGCAAAAAATTAGTAAACGATTACATATAATCTTTAGTGTCTCGAGTGTACAACCAGAAAACGCATTCACGGAAGTTCAATTATTTTTTTTTAATTTATAAGATAATATCGCAGATAAGAAAAGGAAGGGTT